GCAGAGTGGGAAGAATTACCACAACAAAGAGTTGCCAAAACTGGCAATCCTTACTGAACTGTAGTCAGAAAGGCAGTTTTCATAACACATCCTTTCAGTTTTCCTTATGCAATGCCTTCCACAAAGTTACCCTATGGATCACACTTGCATTTTATGGTCACATCCTGCAGCCATATAAGGCATTTGGGTTCCAACCTGGGCCTCAAGCTTCTGCCACTTTTGGTTTTACATTCAGTAAAATTTGTATTTGAGATTAAGCTGCCGATAAACTAGTCTGACACGGCTTCAGTGCCGACAGTTCCTTTTGGAATCAGTCAGTACTAGTTAGGCTTAACGGCTGCCTTAGTTTGGAAGGAATTACCTTTCCCCCCAGACTCAGATCTACATTGATTTGGAGTATTGTCTTGACAAAGCTCTTGGTGCTGTTGTTGAAGCTACGCTAGACTTATTTTGGGCAACTACTACAGAGCAAAACTAATTCCGGCTAAGCAGCCTGACTCGTCCCATGCGGTCCTTTAAGAGAGATGCAGATTGAATCTTAAAATACTATGGGGAACGTTTTTAAGAAAAAAGGATGGTTAACTCAGAGTCCTGACCAGTCTCAATCCAATTAAAAGTCCTTTTTCACTGAAGTTATTATTTGACTTCCACTCCTGAAACAATAAAAGTCTTTTTAACTTCACTGGCACAGAGCGGTCCCAAATTCCACTTGGAAACTGCATTTTAATGGAATACCAAGCAGAAGGAAAGTGCTTGGCTGACATTTACAAAAGGTGGAAGAAGGAAAGAATCTGATGCTCATCAGTATCGGGACAGACACTGCAGCTAAATCACTAGGCCTGTCTGACGTGCAATTATGAACACTAACAAGCAATATCTTTCTGATGGCAGGACGTTACAGCAGCTGGTAAGATGGCTACAGATGCCTTCCTGCCTCTTCTAAACCCTATACCTTCTCCTCTGAGTCGCGCTAACTTTTGGTGAGATTCCTCTGACAGAGGGAATTAATTCGGCACAGAAAGCAGGCTCTGCTCAGTGCTATCCCTTTGATATCACCAGCTATTTCTGCCATCCATATACTCACCTTGCAGCGGCGCAGCAGAGCTCTAGCTATGCACAGTAACTGTCTCTCTCCAACTGAGAAGTTTTCCCCGTTTTCCATCACTTCCGATTCAAGTTTCATGGGCAGCTGGACAACCTGTGTGGAAAGCAGAGGGGAGAAGCTCAGAGCATTGCACAGGTTTTCTGCATCTCCACAGCATGAGACAAATAGTTGCTCTTCCTGCAAATCTGATTTTGCTCATGTTCCAAAATATCCACCACACTTTGTTGTCCATCTCACCCTTTCTCTGCTGGGGAAATTATTAGCAAGCAAATAACGCTTGCTAATAATAATACAACATTACAAACAATAATAAACAATAATACAACATTAGACTTGTTCAGTCGTAAGTACAAAACGTTCAATCCTTCAATAAAAAACAAAAAACCCCCAACAACTTTCTTACCGAGAGCAAAGAGCGAACCTGGTCCCTGCAGAAATTACAGCCTACGTTCTATAGCCACACCTGAAGCCCTATGTCATTCAACTTGCACAAAAAGAAGAGTTGGAAATGTCACGGCAGTAAGACTTGTTGCAGAGGGCAGGTATATCTGTCCTCACAAAGGAGGGATTTTAAGTTCAGTATGTGTGTTTGTGTACACTCATAAATGTAAATACGCATGCACACCTGTCTACCTACCTATCAACAAGGGCACATCCAGGAAAATACCACTTCTGAAATATCACAGACTTTAGGAGTCCCTGTGATGAAGCAACACCGTGCTATGCTAGGTGCTGAAAAAGTACATATCCAAAACATGGTATCTTCTCCAAAAAGTTCACAGTATCAGTATAAGCATAACCAGTGAGGGAGAAAGAAAGTGCAAAGAGCTTTATCTGAATGTCTCTGAAGTAGCTATCAATAGAACATACACGTTTGAAAGCCAAGACATAAACAAGTCTTACAGGGCGCATCATACTTACACATTCCTTCATGTGAGTCCTTTCCAAAGCATCCCAGATTTGTTCCTCACTGTATTGATTGAAAGGATCCAAGTTTGACCTAGAAGGGCAAGAAGAAAGCATAATCAGAACTTGTACTAGTTCAGCAACGAATGGCAAAACTGCAGTGGGCGTGCGTCCACACAGACAGCTCACTTCTAGCCCTCCACTGACAGGAGGACTTCCTTGCCAAGGAAATCGGATATCCCAGTACACTAGGGTTAAAGCAGCCAAATAGCAGAGTAGAGAAACGGAAGACAAAGATGCAAAAATATCAAGCAAGCTTAATGGAAAAGCAAAGGTTCCCTAGAGGATGATCACACCCACTTCTGCATTGGGTCAGCTAAACCATATACCTCTGCTTTTCTGTATCAAAATTGGAGAACAGAGGCAGACAGAGCATGGGCATTCAAGGGCTATGTCCAAATTAACACATCTCATCAGGCAAGTATTTGAGTTCAGTATGAGCTGGTAGCTCTCTCTGTCCTTCATGTTATTTTATGATCTCACTAACCTCACAGTGCCACTGAACAGCACAGGTTCCTGAGGAATTATTGAGAGTTTGCTGCGAAGATCTGCTAAACCAATGTCATTTATTTTCACTCCATCAATTTTAATGCACCCTCCAGACAGTTCAACCAGACGAAAGAGTGCCATTCCAAGAGATGATTTCCCTAAAAATGAGACAGAAAAAGATACTAGCCATAGCAGCCGAGAGAGATGAGATAGCATTTCAAAAGCATCAGGAGTAAGAAACGCTAGAAGTGTTTTAAAACATCATAAAGTTGATGGCAAACAATGTTGGTAAGTAATCCAGGTAGAAGTTTAAATACTGAACCCTTTCTCCTAAGCCATATTCATCGCTAATTTAGAAACTCCATTTTGAAGCTGATTTAAACCATCTCGCACGCTGGGTTTTTTGATGCTTTACGTTATAGATGTCCAAGACATCTTAAGAGTCACAAGCAGCTGACAGCACCTGTACGAACAGCTTTGAGGAAAGTCAGTTAAAGTGCAACAAGCATACCGTAGATAGAGTTCCGTGCTGATCAACAGCTTGGGATGTTAATTAAGTATTATAAGCATACTGGCTCAGGCATAGCAGGATTACCCTCCTCTTTGAATGGAAATTTGTTTCTTTTTATTGCTTATGAGGATCCTACTTGCATATATGCACGTGAACAGAATCCATCACTGACAGACTGCTGAACCATCCCTGGGCAGCTAACAATCAATTCAATCAATACTTTCAGACACTGAGAGAAAAACCACTATAACTGCCCAGCTCTGTTACCACTCTGTAAACGCAGCGGTTTAACTCTGCCCAGTATTTTTCCTCACCTGAGCCTGTCCGTCCCACAATGCCAATCTTTTCCTTTGGTTTGATGGTAAAGGACACTTTCTTCAGCACTAGAGGGAGGTTCTCTCGGTAACGCATCTCTGCATTTTCAAAAACAACTTCACCTTCCTGGGGCCAGTCCAGAGGAGGGGTTTTATTCTTAATTCGAGCGGGAGCTTCCAAGGAAAGAGTCTTTAAAACAAAAACAGAAGTCCAGTTTCCAGTAAACAAAACACCAGAGAAGAAAAATTATCAGCTGCTGCTTTCAGC